AAGTAACATTCACTGACTTCCACAATGTTTTCTCTTCATTTCTTTGAGTGTTCCTGAAAGTCAGCAAGTTGCTCTTTGGAATGACCTTATTATTGTATCATGTTTTTGATCTGAGTTTGTTTTACAGAATGAAACGTCTGAATGAGTGCTCATCCAAGACTGGTGATTCCATAATTATTGCCAGGGGTTGTAGAATGATTGATGTGCTTTCTAATGAGGAAATAGTTTGTGAGGATTTGGTTGATAAGCAGCTGTTTGCCATGAAGCTGCCCAGCAAAACCAGGGAAAACGCATCATTTTTATCCCCCTTTGTTTCAATCACATTTTTCATTCTTTGTCATCAGAAGCGTGAGATCCCAGATTATCTTTGTGGGAAAATCAGTTTTGAGCTGATGAGGGAGCCCTGCATCACACCCAGTGGAATCACCTATGACCGCAAGGACATCGAAGAGCACCTACAGGTGAAAGTGTTGTTAGTTTGCATCCTCAACACCTCAGGATCTTTGTTACTCCAAAGGGCTGCAGGGTGAAGCAGGCCGAACGTATTCAGAGTTTGAGCTGATCTAACTCAAGTAATTTCTAAAAATGAAGATCACACTCGGTAGCCGTGTTTCCATCAAGGTTTTTTTAATGCGCATTTTGAAGCATCTCATAAAAGGTGAATGGAAATGGCTTGATTCGAAAAAAACTTCCTTTAATTCGCATCAAAGTTGATACGCTCGCTTGAGGTGGTTTTTGGGTTTTTCGAAAAAGAGTTAATGCGCAAAAGGAGAGAGGGAAACACATTTGTCGAATAAGTTCTGACGTAGCGAACATTTACCTCACATGCTGATCAGCTGTTCCCGCTGTCTCTCCGAAACCAGTCCTGGTACCAGAGCGACTGCAGCTGGACCCTCCTCCCGCTGTCAGCATCTTCGCAGTTACTCCCGTTAACATGGAGAATTGCATTACTTCCTCTACGTCTCCCGACAGCATATAAAATCGCCAAAACTAGTTGGACAGAATAATTACAACTTTCCTGACAGTAGCAAGACGTTCCTGATAACTTCTCTCCATTTTCCTGAGATGAGACTTTTACTACACACATGCGTCTGACGTAATAGATTCACTTCAAGCCAGTTGATGGAAACACGTCTGATTTGTATTTCTCTGTTTTTTCCTTTTTGCGAAATTTAAAAAATTCGCTCAAAATTCGAATTAAAAATGGATGGAAACACGGCTAGTGGTACTGCAAAGCTGATTATCAACAGTCCAGCTTTTCTGACTTTAGACTTGTTGACGTCTTATGAGCTGGAAAATAATATTAAAAAAATAAGATTTAAAGGGGCAATATTATGTGTGTTCTCAGACATACATTTAAATACTATACCATGATAAAGTATCTATGTCATCTTTAGTTG